GAAATTAGTACACTATTGCCAGCAAATAGTAGAAGATTCAAATACCCTCAATTTATATGTATTCCCATTCCTTCTCATTTCATTTTCCAGAAGATAATATCAAGGCATAATGTAAATAATTTCGATGAATTTCTATCCCTTTGTTTTTATCATTTTTCCTATCTTTTTATTTAATCACCTTAAATTGAGTTCAAAGCAATTGCCTCTACTAAAATTGCATCAGACACACAAAGGTAAGATATAGCAGATAAATCAGATCAAAGGATTTCATAGAATCTTTTAGAAAGTGCTTAAAGTTGTTATGTAGTCAGCTTCAATTAACTACTGCAAAAGCCATTGATACATTTTAGGTTTGTGGGAAAGAATACGATTAATCTTATGCTTAATTCATCTATCTAAAATGCCATGCTCCTTCATAGTGTAGGTGATCATGACTCTCCACAGCTTCCATTTTATTATCTGGGAATTGCCATGACTTAGTAATTATAGTGATTTCCTACTGTCTTTTCTATAGTTTTGAATTCAATGTAGTCTTTCTCCTAGACAGGCTACCCTACTGTTTTTTTAATTTTATTTTCAACAATTTTAAATCCTTTTCATTAATAACCTGCTTTTATATATAGGCAAGTTTTCCCCTATTCATATTCAACAAAGCTAAAATTGTCTCATATATTCTGTTGTTTTTTATTGTTTGATTTATTGTCTGTAGATGGCCTATTGTTGAATAGCCAGTCTTGAAATATGGCTTTTCATGTGGTTGAATTTCATCTACAGTGTTTTAAAATTTATTTTTAAGTATCTTCCCAAAGTCAACATCACCATTGAATTTAGTTTATGCAAATTGGAAATAATGTGAATTTAAATTTGAACATATTGTTCTGCGTTTCTGTTTCATAAATATGGAAAACCATTCTGCAGCAAGACTACATTGAAAGATATACTTGAAAGAGCTTTCTCAATGCACAAATTATATTTTAAACATTTTCTTTACTGACTTACAGAACCCAAAAGCATAATAAGAAGTGCAAACCTCTGAGTGAATTACACTTCATTCATGATTAAAAATTGTGTGTCAAAAAAAATATTTGCAGCATAATTAGATTTCAGCTGCTCAACAACAACAACAGAAGTTGAATTCAAGATTTGAAATGTAAAGCTCTCTCTTCATCAGCTCTTTAGACACTTCCACCATTCGCAATATCTGATAACAATTTTTTGTTAATTTCACCACAATCAGACAAGAACAATGACAATAAAGAACAGAATGCTTAAAGTAAGAATTTATAACTTTACGATGTGGGAAAAAGAGTAGTTGAGATTGGTAATGAATCTACCGAAAAAAATAAAAAAAAATAAAATTTTCAAAACAAAGTTTCTTAAAGTATAGAGCAAGAACTAATAAATATACAAGTAAGTGTAGAAATGAGCCAATTCCCTCTATTTTTACTTCTGCATGCATCCAGCACATATATGGAGCAAATGGCACAACACCTTACAAGAGAATCTATTGAGTTGGAAAATAAGAATAAACCCGCATTAAGAAAAATAGATGGCTTCAGGATATGTACATAAACATGTTTATTATATATATATATATATATATATATATATATATAGTGGCACATATATATTTTGTGTGTGTAGGTTTTATGCTTATAGAAGAGGGTGGTGGAAAGTTCCTCAATCTAAGCTTTCATTTCACATGAGCCATCATCAGAGTAGTTATATGGACATTACAGCAGAGAGATTCGCCATCAAAGATGACATCCTGTTATGTTTACATAGAAGTTTGCTATGCGATGATAATGGTCATGGAATAGACACTGCTGATTATATTTAACAATATATGTTTGAATAATGATCTGCTGCCCCAGTACACTAAATAAATATGTGTGTGTGTATTAAGGCAGCATATTTTCATTCAAACAGGTTTGGTTAAATAATTTAGTCATATTATGTTTATTTTTGTTTTAATCCTTTTGAGTCCACAAATCAATTTCTTAGTAGCTGTAGAAAATTCATTAAGAAAAATACCAAAATTTTCTTTAAATTGTGTTTTTTTAAAAAAATGAACAGTAAAATGAACAGCAAAAATGTTTTGAATTTACAGAAATATATAACCCCCTGAAGATGAACTCTGATGATACTTGGGAAAATAAAAATTATTTGAAAGAAATTTTTCATATTTTTCTTAATCAATTTTCTGTGGCTACACAAATTGGTTTGTGAACTTGAAAGGATTAAAACAAAAAATAAACAGACATATTATATTAAATTATTTCTAAATTATTTAATATATATATATCCAGATATATATATATATATATAAATATATGTTTGAATATATATATATATCCAGAGATATATATATATATATATATATATATATATATATATATATATATATATATATATATATATATATATATATATATATATATATATATATATATATATATATATATATATATATATATATATATATATATATATATATATA